TGGTCCGGCATAGTACACAGCCACCGGTGTGTACCGTGTATAACCCACTAAACCCAACACATAATAATAATAATAATAATAATAATAAGCATCTAAGACATTTTATACAGCTACTTCCTCACTTAACTACCAGCTCCAGCAAGGAGAAATTCCCTTTCTTGATCTCAGTCTAGTACTGTAATCAGTCGGTATTAACTACATGAAGTTCACAACCTCCACGATTACATATTTCGTTTACAAATGGGTACTTTATTGTGCATCCCATTAGAAGGATTTGATGAGTAAAATATTAATCTGAATGTCTTTTTTTTTTTTTTTTTATGAACAAACTTTAATTTTTTGTTATGTCATTTTTATAATTTTTGCTGATTGTATTTTTAAATTACAAATTAAATTTGTATTAATTTGTTAGAGAGACAAATTAAAACAAAGTTATTGAGTTGGAATTTCCTTTACACCCTTTCTTTATCTACAATAAATAAAAATTATGAAGTTTCTCATTTAATGACTAATTTGCTTAATGGCTTAGTCGTAAGAACTGAAATCAGTCATTAAGTGAGGAGTAGCTGTATAATTTTTTGGCAATTTTCATTTGCATTAATTTGAAAAGTTTTGTTAAAATAACAGAATTAATAAATATATAAAATTTAATAAAAAGAACCAACTTTTTTATTTTTCAGTCATTAAAATATATTTTACTATATAATATATAAATTTATTATATTTCATTTAAAGCCTAATATAGCTTTAAACAATATTTTTAAATGTTTTTGAAGTAATCTAAGTAATAAAATAAAAATGTTTTTAGAAAACAGAACCAATGGCCCCCAACAAGTATCTTGCAGACCTCTGGGGTCCATGAACCACAGTTTTAAAATTACTGATGTAACAAAATCCCAAAAAAAAAAGTTTAAACAAACTTTGTACGAGGGTTGTCCCAAAATTAATGCACAGTTGGCTCTAACTCAAAAAATATTTATTGAAGAAGATACAAGTGATTACAGGCCTTCAAAATAATCCCCTCCCTTATCAACGCACGCTTGCCAGCGGCATGGAAGTGCTTGGATTCTATTCAGCATCCCCTTCTTATTGAGTATCCAAATCTGTTGGGTCACTTCTCTTCGGAGCTCTTTCAGCATCAGAAAACACCCCCCCCCGAAGGGGTTCCTTCAGCTTGGGGTAGTCAAGTTGAAATCAGATGGGCTCAGATCAAAACTATAAGCCAGGTGGCGGAGCTGTTCCCAGCCATAGTTTTTGAGAAGTTTGATGATTGGTGCACTGAAGCCACCACCTTTCATTTGCCTAGCAGCTGTGTTAAAATACAATGCATGCTCATTTTTGAGATTCCTGTCCCCGCCTGAATTTCTCTTACCGTGATTCTCTGGTCTTCATTGAGCAACGTTGCAATGATTGAAGCATTTGTGTTGTCAGCTGTTACAGTAAATGGCCACCCTGCGCACAGATTGTCTTCGATGCTTATTCGACCTTCTCGAAACTTCGTGTGCCACCTCTGTACTGTGCTACGATTCACAGTAAACCTTCCATGCACTTCTTTTAACACAGCATGAATTTCTGGCACTTTTTTATCACACACTGTATTAAATAAAAGTGTTTCCATATTTATTTCAAATATATTTTCACATGTATAACCTGTGTTTAAAAGACAACACAAAGAGAGTATGGGTTATGCAATGGGCAATTATACACTGATTTTAAAGTGCAATTATGAATATGCATCTATGGAGCAACATACAGGGTATATAGTGGAGATGCAAAGATTTTAGTTTTGTTCCAGCAATTTTCTGTGCACCATTGCATGAAAATACAACAAATAAAAAATTATGTTATATTCATTAATATTTCAGAAAAGATGGAGAACAATGTTTAATATGTTGAAAATTTTGAGGAGTAAATGTGTAATTTTCTGTCAAATTTTGCATTAACAAAAAATATGAACATTATTAATTGAATGATGGTATAACTGTGGAAAAAACGTCACTGATATTCCAGTACAAATATTCCTTGATTTTCAGACATTCAATTTTCAGCCAAATTGCCCTTTTGTTTGTAACATTTTGATATCTCTATATTGATTTCTAGACACCAAATTTGCACCCTAAGTACATTTTCCATCAACAAATAAAAATTTCAAGCTCTGAGATGATCAAGTGATGCTTTTTGCTAATTTTGGTTTGGTAACATCAGAACTATTTTTGTAAAAATGAATTTTTATTGTTTCTTTTGTTTTAATCTATAGTTTTAATGTTTTAAGCATTGTAGCATATCCACTATAAAAAAACTAAAAAATTTCCTATCTAAATATGAGATTTTATCATTTTTTTTCTAGCTCTCTGGAAATAGAATTTCCTTTGTAATATGAAACTCTATCATTCAGCTTTCATATAATTTTTAAGAATGTACTAATGTCTGAAAATTGAAAACTATTGGTGTAGAGATACTTATAACAAATATCACACTAATGCTGAATGAGAATCACATCTTGTGATGATGATGCTTCAGCAGGCAAAATATCTCAAGAAAAAAAAAACAGATTTTATAACAAATAAATAAATAAATGTCATTTTTATAATTTTTGGTATCACTTTATAATCACATTTTTCATCTTATCTTTTAATAGAAAAATTTATTAATTGTTGGGTTCAAAATTGCTCAAAGCTAAAGATATATTTGTATTGAAATGCAATCATTTGGATTTAATACAATAAGAATGTACAGGGTCTTCCAAAAAGAATGCTACCATTTTAAATTACTACAATTATAATAATTATTACCTTAGAAATATGCTAAATATACCAGTTAAGAGAGTAAATGTCTAAGTTTTATCTCCCACTTCATTCAAACAACCTGTGGTTTACTACTTGTAGGAAGTGCTGTAAACAAAAATGGCAACACCAAAACAGAGAAGGCATGTTATGTTCTGCAGTTCAAAAAGTCGGAATCACTCATCATCATGCAACATGAGTAATTTGCAGGAGCTGTAGAATTGTGACTACTGACAACAGATGTGCTTCAGTGTGCATAGGAAGAATTTGAGTATCAGTTGAACATGCACCATGTGATGCAAGATGCACACACATTGAGAAATTTTAATGGGCAAATGTGAAACTTGGACAGTTTTCCAATATTTTAATGCACATTACAATATTATCTGATAACAATTAACATAACAACAATAATTTAAAATGATAGAATTTTTTTGGAAGACCCTGTATTTCCATATGAAGCATGCTATTTATGCAATTAAAATTGTAAAAACTATGTAAAAAGTTATTAGAAAAAGTTTAAAAATTAAATTTAATTAATTAAGATTTAGAATAAACTTTAATAAAACTAATAGAAATTTGTTAATTTATTTTTATTCATTTATTAATTTAACTTTTGAGTTTACTTTAATATGATTTAATAATATATTAATGATAAACATGAATATAATACTTACTGTTGATCTAATTCTAATAAAAATTTTCTCGTATATTCAAATGAACCTAATGATTCTAAAAGATCAACTGCATACTTTTTTATCTCTATACTCGTAGTTCTCTGTCGTACAATATCTATTTTTTTTATTAAGAATTTTTTATATATAAAAATAATATCTATGAAATTTTCTATATGTAAAAGAATATTATATTAATTAATATTAAAAATATTAAAAAAATCATTTGCTTCTTCATGATACTACCACCTTAATGAAGGCCTGTGGCAGGATAAGGAGGCTTGTGTGCTCCTGAGATCCCAAGAACTATGCTGGTAGTAGCATTTATATATGCCAAGGGTGGCAAACCTTTTTCAGCCCAGATGCCATATAGTATGCATACTTAGCTTTAAAAATGTTTATGCATGCCAAAGTTTCAGACTTCAAATAATGATATTTAAATAAATTAAATGAATATGCTTTAATTAGAATAAATGCAAAAAAAAGCTGATTGAAAAAAGGATGATCAGGCAATAAACCAAAAGGATAGTTGAAAAAGATAAATAATAAATCAAAATCATATGATATGTTATGTGCCAGATGATTTCTCCTTATATGCCACAGGTTTGCCACCCTCGAAATAGGCTATTGGGAGTCAGACAGTTGCACAACCTCCAACCTGAATCTCCACATTGGAGGTTGTGCAAAAGACTGGTAATCCCTTCAAGTGAAAATATCATTCAACTTGAAAGCACCAATGGAAGAATATGGTGAATGGCCAATCAAAAAATGACAAAAGATTTGGAATAAAGGAAATCTTGATATAGCTACATGGAACATATGAGGAAGATTAGTGTCTAAAGATAGGTCTTGACAAGGCAACATTTGGCATTGATATGTATGTGCTAGAGCAGTGTTTTTGAACCAATGGTCCATAGACTGGTGCCAGTCCATGAAAAAATTTCACTGGCCACAGAAAAATATTTGACCATACTGACACTGGTGCAGTTTATTATGGATGACATTTAAATAGTAATCTAGAGTTATTGTACTTACTTTGTTAAGTACAGTAGATACTCTAGATAAGCATATATAAGCATAATTCATAGCAGCATATAATTACTGGACCACATAAAATTATCCATAATTTTACTAGTCCATGATGAGAAAAAGTAGAGACAAAATAAGATATCAATATATTAGTTTAGTATTATATGAATATATTTTGTGTGAACAGAGTGGCAGCATTGATGATGGGTTTTCAACAGCAGTACTCTTTGCCCTTTCAATATTTAAAAATCTGTAAAAAATACAATTATTGAAGAATGAAAATTATAAAATAGAATCAGTGCATAAACAATACTATTAGTTAGGAGAATGCCTGAATATTGTGGGCCTAGATGCACTATATTTCTAAATGTGTCACTGCAAACCTAAGCAAAATTCAAGCAATTTAAATGCGACTTCTGTAATATATTAAAGGGTATACCAAACTGGATCAGATACAGAATGAAGAAATAAGAAAAGATTTAAATACATTCTCCATTAAATAATAGAACACAGGCAGAAATGGAGATGTAAACACAACTGCAGATGGAAGACTGCCAAAAGGACTGCTCAATTATAAAATAAGAGGAAGAAGGGATTTAGGAAGAGATGGAATGACCTATGAAACCAGAAGAGGTAAAATTGCATAATCTTTGAATGTCAGAGGAGGAAGAGGTGGAGAAATCATTTGAAATATAATATTCATAAACATTTTTGAAAATCATTTACTAAAAGAAATATTTTTTGACATAGAAGATAAATGAATTAACAAATATTTAAAAATTACTTTTAATGATTAGTAAATGTAAAATATTAACATTGTTTTAATATAAGACCAACTTGATATAAGGATCTCTGCTATTAGTTTACATCAGTAAAAATAATAATGTTAGAAAATAATTTATTCATCTGAAAAGTTAATGTTAAAATATGCATATATATTTGCTTTTGTTGTTAATTAACAATTTTTAATATTTTAAAAAATCATTTTATTAATAGTAAGGACCCAAAATTAAAATCTTTTTAATTTTAATTCTATTCTCAATAAACAAAATTTTATTTTAATTTTATATCATTCCAAGCCTTCTGTTCCTAGAAAATTTGGATTTTATACTAATAAAACTTTTATATTAGCAAAATAGCATGCCAAATAACAATATCTAATATTTCTTAGAAACAAAACATAAGTCATTATAGTATCAGATCAATTAACTGGCAAGCTTAGGACTGGAGTGTGGCCTGAATTTCTGGAAATGGGCTAAATATATATTTAAAATATAAAATAAACAATAGAAAGTTAAGAACAAAATTATATTTAACAAATAAAAATTAATACACTTCTAAAGAAGGATCAATTTGATCATTATTAATTCTCTTAAAATATTGAATACTGTGTATAGTAAAATATTTAGGATAAAAAGTAAAGAACATAATGGAATCAGCACTGTGCAAACTACAACTGTACTACAGCCTGTCAAATTAAAAGCTAGCCAGTTTTTGGTAATTTCAGATTTCTGGAAGAGGAGGAGGACAATCACCTAAGATGGTGCACTAAAGCAATCTGGTGGTGGTAGTGGTGGTAAAAGTTATAGAGAAGGAGGCTTTATTGGGCTGCAATTTGAAAAATTGTAACCTATAAATTCCCGCTGTTGTCCATCCATCTGTCTTTCCTTAATCTTGTTCTGAGTACTTTGTACTGCATCTTTTATTGTCATGCATTTTTGATAACATAACTGCCTGAGAAAAAAGCACAAAAAACCAATAATCCTGTATGAAAGGAACAATTTATTACTAAAACAAATACAGGTTGACATTCAAAAATCTGGTTCCTTCAGAGAATTTCCAGCATGGATTTTGGAATGCATTTTCAAATTTACCGTATTGGCATGTTGCTGTTTTCTGAAGACGCTTAACTAAAATTCTGTAGAACTGTTTTATTTAGTTGATAAACATTAAAATTTCATTTGTTTTTCATTTAGTGTTTAATTTTCTTTCTTTAAAGGATTATACAAATAGTCATTTTCTATTAAATATATACACATATATAACCATAAAAAATCTAGCATTCCTCAGGTCCAGAGGTAGCCAGATATTTAAATGTCAACCTGCATTTTCAATTGTCTTTAATAACAATCTTTCAGCTTTTAATATTACAGATAGAATAAAATCTGTAATACAGTGGGTGATCGGTTAACGAACATAATCCGTTCCAAGACTTTGTTCACTATCTGAATTGTTCGTTAACCGATTATCGATTTACCATAGGTTTTAATGGGAATTTAATTAATTCGTTCTGGAACCCCCAAAAATAAAAAATATATACTTTCTTACTACGTTTATTTATATGCAATAATAAAAATACATACATACACAGTCTTGCATTTTTATTAGTCATGTTTTTTTCCGTTTGAAAGGGTTAAAGAATCTGTCTAATGTCGATTGCTTTTCTCTCTTCTTCAGGATTTTTCGTAAGTAATTGCAATTATAGAAATCCCCAAGCCTCAACCTGGTTTGGATGTCATTCTAAGACTGTTGTTCTGACATCCTCCCGCTTCTTCAAAGGATCTTTAATAACAGATATCGGCATTAATCCTCTTTTTTCAGAAGAAAACATATCTCACCGAGTTTCTTGGCGTTCTTCTGTCGTCAGATCCATTTCAGGTTCCATCATGAACTTTTCAATATTCTTTATTTCTCAGATGTGATTTTTGTTACTCCTTTAGCTGCTTGAGTCTTCTTGATTATACAGTATCTTAAATAAAATTGAACTGCGGCCTACTGTAAACCTGTTCACGCCATACTACCCAGCAACATTAGGCATCTTCTGCCCACTCTCTACCTTTGCTATTATACTCTCACCTTTCGTAAAGAAAAACAGACGCAAAACTTAACGAGTGCCTACCTGACAATTTCACGAATACATAAAAGAATTGTTTTGTCAGAAAAATAAAAGGCTGGAATTACAAGGGAGAGTTTCAAAGTTCGGAGGAATATTATCCGATCGGTATATACCGGCTTAAGAGTCGATGTCGACGTCTCCCACACTCGGAAAAGTTTTGAATTGTTGCCCGAAGACAAGGGAAGACTAATCGGTATTCATTATTTTACATCGCTTCTTGTGTTTGTTCTATGGGGTGTTCGTTATCCGATCATGTGTTCGTTGTCCGAACATAAAAATCTTTTGCGAAAGTGTTCGTTATCCGATCTGTTCGTTAACCGATCACCCACTGTATTAGAAACCTGAAGATGGTCATTAAAGATGATTAAAAATGTTTGTTTTGGTAATAAATTGTTACTTTCATACTGGATTACTGTTTTTGTGCTTGTTTATGCTAATCCCATCCAGTTTTTACTGTTACTTTTAACTGCCTGATAGTATCCATGATTTACAATAAGCAAATTCTGTATATACAGGGTGTCTGTAAAGAAAATTCCACTAGTAATTTATAGCACATTACATGGCAGATATATTGCCCACCAGTGGTGAAGTGGATGAAACCACAGAACACCAATAGTTGGTTGTGGGTTTGCTCCTTGCCAATGCAATGGCCATGTGGGGTTTTCCAGATTTTCTTTACATTTGTAACACCTAAATAGGGGCATTTCCCATAGAAAGTCGTCCTGGAAGGCATCCCCTCAGCAGATCACCCACATGGTGTGTTGCCATATACCAGTGTTTTTCAACCTGTGGGTCGCAAAGCCATACACGGGGGTCACGGGTAAAAGAAAAAGACAAGTGTTTGTAGGTTCTACACTACAATAAAAAAACTACAATTTCAGTGAGAAGGCTGTGCCTGTTTATTTTACAGTACAATTAGTTTTTTGATTGATATTTAAATCTCAACAGAAAGAAAATTAAATACGTACCGGTAATTTTTAAAATCACTGACATAGTTTTAATATGGCCGTGGGGGTCGGCAGAATTTTTTAACTTGTAAAGGGGTCGCATATTCGAAAGGAGTAACGTATTGAAAAATACTGCCATATACAATCAATCTAACCTGACAAATATATCAGGATGTATCAGGTGTAAGGCAAAATAACATGCTAGATGGTTTTCTTATTCTAGTTTGGTCTCCCAATGTAGTTACTCTAGTTGGTTGCAAATGCTGCAATGACAATACCTTCATGAAATGACTTCCACAATCCTGATTTAATCCCGTGAGATTTTTTCTTATGGGGTTACATAAAGGACAAAGTCTCTATTGAAGAAACCACAACTGTGATAATATCTGACATGTTATCCAAAGTGTGGCAGGAGTTTGAATGTTTGTTGCATCATAGAGGTACTCATGTCAAAACAATGTAATCTAAACACTGAAACAAAACCTGGACACCATGTGCATCATATGAATCATAAAACATTAGTTAATGTACCATGGTATTTGGTTAATAAATTTCTAAAAGTGGGGTTTTCTTTATATATGTTCTATATATACTGTTTATTTACATTTTAAACAATTAATATAATCATAATTGAAAGACAATAATAAATAAATAAATAATTTAAGGCATAATCAATTAATAAATTGATTATGCCTTAAATTATTTATTTATTTATTATTTATTAGAATTTATTTAACTTATCATTTGATGTCTATATATGCGTAAGAATTTTTTATGTTAATTGTTGTTATTAATTAATTAAATCATACTAGAATTTGCATTTACAGTTGAACCTGTCTGTCAAATCTCATAGGGAATGAGAAAAAAAATTGATATATACAGGTTTTGAGATATAGAGGTTCTTATGCAGTAAACAGCAATAAGTTTGATTGGAGGTATAGTATTTTATTAATACAACAGCAAATACAGTACATATCTGTATTAGGTGCAAATAAAACATTTTTGACATACCTTAATAGAAATAGTTTGTCAATAGTTTCTGATGTCCAACTTTCTTCAACCAATAAATGCAAGCAAACTCATAGCCAATCAAAGAAAAGCAGCATTAATTGCAATTATGTACTGTATTTCAAGAGGTGTTTCTCAATTACAATTTATGCTATCAAAATGTAGTTGCTGAACTTTGAATTTGTTATTGACAATTCAGTCCATAATTTGAGATATAGATGTTTTGGGAGAAAATTATTTGAGATAAGCATGGAAAATATGTTGAATTTAGGCTGAAAATGCAGGAGAAAAAATTAATTTTGAGATAAAGAGGTTTCAAGATAAACTTGTTTGAGACAGTGAACCTGTCTCAAACAAGTTTAATTATATTAAGTGCAAAATTATACATTTCTTAGAATGATATTAATTTAGCAAAAAATTTATAACAGATAATATGTATTACAGGTTGAAAACAGCAGTATGCACCTGCATTCTTGTTACTCAGTGGCCAGAACCAGTGAATGGCTTAAATGTGCAGGTGCACAACTCTATATCAACTGAACATCCATACTAAGAATAACATTGATACAGTGAAGAACCTAAAGCCATCAAATTATATAGTAGTAGTTTATTTGACATATAATTCAATACAATATCAAAGGGGGGAGCCATCAAATTATGTAAGCAGCAGTAAATCAGACCAAGGTAAAAACACAATAATATTCCTTTTTCAAAATTTTAATTAAATTAATATTAATTTTGCATTTTGAGATATAATTAGCATTATTCAAAATCTCAAAATGCAAAATTTAACTTGTTAAAATCTTAACACCAGCAGCATGAAATTCCAAATGACAAAATTCTGTTGTGATGAAATTTTAAAATGATAAGACAATGTTTTAATATTACAAAATTCAAACAAGAAAAATTTATAATAATTAAAAACACTATTTTAGCAAAATTAATTTGTTTATTTTTCCAAATTATTTTGGCAATATTCAGATAGATTTTTCTTAGTGAAGATTTTGACATGTCAAGAAATTATTTTGTCAGGAAATTTCTATTTTGGGACATAACTTTTCTAAGTTCATTACATTGTTGGATTTTCATCATATCTGGATTTTGACATTACAATATTTTCAGTAAGTCAAGATTTTGAATTATAATTAGTCATTGGGTAATTCAAAAACCTGGAGTGTAGAAATTTGTTTTAAATATCTGTATTTATGATATTGCTTTAAATAATATTAAAACTTTAATTTTGTTCTAAAGATGTAATTGTAACAGTCTATTTTATAATAGACTGTTACAATTATGTCTTATACAATTATTATAAAACAAAGAAAAATTTATATAAATTATTTCTAAATAATTTTTTTTACTTAATATATTTACATTTAGATGATATTATTATTTTTTAAAACAGATAATTTAAATTATTCAAAATTTCTTTCTAAAGTCACCAGGTGAATGAAAAAAATTATAAAAAATAAAATAGTAAATAAATAATATGTTCCAAACACTGAAAAAATTAATAAATACTCAGAACTTATCCACAAAATAAAGTGTCTGCGAAGAATGGATAAGATACTTATTGTGACTTTGGTCTTTTCTTGCACAGGTTCATACCTCATACACTACATGAAAGTCTAGAAACATTAGGGTTTCACAATAGCACATATATCACATTATAAAGCAGCCATTAAAAAACATTTGTCACATAGGATGCTTCTAACAAGGAGAACATTACTACATGCAAGTCATGTAATACTTAATACTTACATTTATTTGGTAGCTCGATAGGTAAATAGCATGTGTTTACATGCTATTTACCTATCGAGCTACCAAATAAATGTAAGTATTTACCTATTTACCTATATAACAGAATATTTCTCTATGGTCAATATTTCTATTTTTTTCATAAGAAAGTAAAACATGGACTATTTGATGAACAGAGTGATGGTGTAAAGTTGATTAGCAGTGATGTCATCGCATTACGATGAAATGTGCTGGTATCCTTGAGCCATGCGATTACTGGCAAGCACTACATTTTTTTCTTTCTGTCACTAAAGCGCTTTCTCTTATTCATTTCAATTAATTAATATATTTTTTAGTAACTAACAGTAACAGATACATATATAATAAAACTCTACCAACTTGAATTTTGTAGTTGAATCTGTTTCAAGTTGGATACAAAAGTGTGTTTTGTGAATCATTAATAATAGCAGATTTAGAGCCTGATTCTTTAAGGGAATCGTTTGGTTGGAATTCAGTACTGTTTACTTATGCAAATTAACTTTTTTCTTTAAAAGCCAAGAATTGTAATATTTGATTTCAGTTTTTTCCTACCAACCTGTGATTAAAGGTAGTAAAAATAAAGTAATTGTCTTCCATGAAAAAATAAACAGAACATATTCTATGTATAAAACAAAAAAATTATTCTAAACACAAAAAACACATTATTATAAAAAATTTCATGCTTTATAAAGTGTGCTCATTACGCACAATGTATTTGCATTTATCATGTATGGTTTGAATGTCATTTTGATTTTTGTTACTCAAATCCATTCAAATACACATAAGCGTTTTTATGTGTGTATATTCTAATTGATAAAGAAAAATAATTGTATTGTCATCATTGTTTAAAATACAGAAATGTTTAATGTACTTTAAAACAGTATAGTTTAAATTTTTTAAGTAACAACATGTAACACACAAGTTATTTTAATTGTAATCTATTTATCTACACATACTTTTTTACTCATATTTATTTCTTTTCCTATGTAGACTATTTCTTTTATTTCCATTTTTGAATTAATGAGAGCTATTTTTAATAGTGAATCAACTATGAGTTTTACATATACAGTAGTTTCTATTTATGAAAAACATTGATTAAAGGATTGTTTACAACAATTATATTATATAGGTTTGCAAGAAATGATTTATTGATACTAATATTAAGAGTATTTTTCCTGCACTGTTTTTATACCATATTCTTAATTTTTTCCTTGCTTTTTTTGTACTGTGAGTGACATAATCTTAATAGGAAAGTAGCACTCGCTAGCAATCACATGACCCAAGGATACTAGCACATGTGTAAAAGGAGCCTTGTCATCTACTCCCTACTTAGGAATGACAAGAATCCACCTGATTGAACAGCTCTTCCAGGAGTTTATTCCATACTTCTTATAAGACAACAGGATAGGATATTCCTATGAATGTATTGGGGTCACTTGTAGAGCTTTACAGATTAGGTCAAAAGACTATCAAGATTCAATCCAAAAGCACTTAACTACTACTACTCTGGTGGCCTTTGCTTCAGACCAGGACATCAATGTGTTTTTTGGCAGAGCTCAGCTGATACATTCTACATCAACACCCCCATAACTTAAATATTTGGAAATGCTTGAAATATATAAAGTGCTTAATAAAGGGACTGCAATCAACAGTAAAGATGCAGCACCTTTGTTGCAAGCCTGTAGGATAGTTTTTGAATGTGATAAACTTTATTTAGCATATACATTTATTTTATTTTTTATAAATTTTATTTTATTTTCATTTAGTTATTTATATTGTGTATTTATTTTAGCACAATTTTGCTATTTTTATTTTAACACCATCTTATTATTTTTATTACTTTATTATGCTAAACTGTTAATGGACTTTTTTGTTTTACCTTTGCCCATGCCACATTTCATATGTTTTAAATTGTTTGATCTTTTAAACTATTCCATTTTTGTTCTAACCTGAGGATGACGTTGAAACAAGGTAAAAAATTGTTTGATTAATATATTGGTGTTACTTACTGGAAGAAGATGTTTTTGACTTAATATACAGTGAACATTCAGTTATTACAGTATTTTATTAATGGATGTAAATCATTTCGTCCAAGAATTCTGTAAACCTGCTAGTGGCACATTCCACACTGCCTAGCAATTCATGTACTTGCATGGAGATGAATGTAAAAGAATGCTAACACAACTACATCATCTATATCTGTATTGTGAGGATGATCTAAACCAGATTTTCTATCTAACATGCCAGTTTCCTTAATCAATTAATTTCATAAAGCCCTCTGCTGAGAGTCACTGCTCCAAGAATAGGAAATGAAATCACTTTTTTTTAATGTATTGTATTATGTGACAATGCTGAAGGGCTCTATGCTTCGGCACCACAGGACCGAAGGGTCACATTGCGTCAGCGAAGACTGCAATGACAAATTTATCAGGATTAACACTACTGTGTCTTCTGAGTAGATACAGAGACCGTTATATTTGCATTTATGCATGAGCAGTCACATCTGTGGGCAGTTGGACTCAGGATGGAGACCGCTTGAGGAAATGCATCCAACACAATTCTAACAATAACAACATTCATTTATTAAACTAGTTCTACAAAATGGTATTTCCCCTAAAGCTTCTTCGTGAGAACTGAGTTGGAGAGAGAGCTTACATAACATCACGAGTCATTATAAATACCTGAAGCACTATGTACAGATTTCCAGATGGCTGTGGAGTCGTTGGGGAGCCTTGGGAATATCTCTGTTGCCTTGGATGGCAGTTAAAGTCTATTGAAAGTTGAGATCCGTTAGTTCTTCATAGGTGGTCTTGGAGAAACACTGATATTCGAGAGGAGCGTGCGGCGACAAGCGATGATGATAAATCCTTTCGACAGGCACACACGAAATATTCTCGACCCATCTCCCTATTCCTTGAGGTCTCCTCTTTATTTCCAAGTCACGTTGTCGTTTTCCACCAATAGTGAATTTTGTTGTAGTTCCCAGTGACACATTCTGAGTTCCCTGGGAAAGGAAATGACTTCGGGAAGAGATTTGCACTCATCCTCCGGTAATAAAATGGAAAAGGTTTTTTTTTCTCTGAGATTTAAATAAATTTCCTTTTCAAAATGACAAATGAATTTTCTTTCGAAAAATTCCCAAATAAAATTGTGGGTTTTCCCCTTTCCAAGTCCGATCTCTCACAATTATATATAAGCTTTAAACATGAGGAATAATAACAATAATAATAATAATAATGCTAATGATATAGAAAAATTAAATTATTTTGTTACACATAAAAGAAAAACTAAAATTGCAAAGGTTCGAACCTACATCATGTAACTCTAGTGCAGGGGTGTATCCAGCCCACGGGCAGCATGCGGCCCAAGGCAAGTTCCAATGCAGCCCAAAAAACCGACAAATGTTTTAATTTTTTTATTATTTATTTATTTCAACGGCATAAACTCAAAAAAAAGGTTCACAAAGCCGTAAACCTATATTCATATTTTATTTTTGAGTGGAAAGAAAATATTTTCAAATACTTGGAGATGTGTGAATGCGGAAGGATTACTAAATAAAGCTGGAGTTGTGACTCAAAGGATTATAGACCCAGATTTGGGAAAAGGAGGGAAAGATGAGAAAGGACAAAAGATGTAGTAGTGAGAAACGTTAAACAGATCTTCTGTTAAGAAAATACAAACCCGTAATTTTTCAACCTTTTTCACTTCTTTATCTTTTGTCCTTTGCCTCTTTTTCCCTGCACTTGGGTCTATAATCCTTTGATTCACAACTCCAGCTTTATTTAGTATTTCTTCCAATGTTGCAAGATTTGGCTACATTGGGCCAAATGTGGCTACTTTTTTTTTTGCTTAACATAAAAAATATAATTTGGCACTTTGGCTACTTTTTCAGAGACATATTATTTATAATTATAATATATAATTGAATAAAAATGCACTTTAAAATGGTGTTTTGTCGCTTTTTATTAATTAGAGACCCAAATAAAACAAATATTTGTGTTTTTCAAATAAATTTTCTTTAGTCTCTTTTATAATAAATGAATTTATCTATTTCTAAGTAAAAATTGAAAGTGTCTGTAGAAGTAATTTTTTAAAATATCCTGTTTTCTTGATAAAATTTTAATACTTATTATTATAATCTAGACATGTTAGTTTTTAAATATACTTGTATATTGGGCCACAAGTGTATATTATATATACTTGTGGCCCAAAACTCCTTGACTTCTTCCAATGCAGCCAAGAGAAACAAAAAGGTTGGACACCCCTGCTCTAGTGCCTACTATCTTATGCACTCATCTATCATCATTATAAGGAAAAGTGAAACTTCCAAAGACATAGGCTAAACACACAATTTTCAAGGGTCCATTTTTTGGAAATGTTTGAAATGTGGGTACTATTTCAAACACTTTGGTGTGCACTCTGCCTTAAAGTCATAAGGACAAGGAGCTGTTTGTGTTTAGGGCTACATGCTCACCAAGTTTCATTCAAATCTGAGACCCAAATGTCTGGCTCTCTCCTTGTCAGCTTTGATCTTCCATGCTTCCTCCTCCCTATCACTTCCAACCTCCCAATCCTCTTTCCAACATAATCCTCACTTCTCTCCACATGTCCAAACCATCTTAATCAGCTTTACCACAAATCCATCTCAGTATTCTCATCTCTGCTATCGCCAACTTCTTTTCCTGGGCTCTTGTAATTGCCCACATCCCAACACTGTACGGTACAGTATATCATTGCAGGTCTTACCACAGTTTTGTATAAAGTTCCTTTCATTTTACAGCTTATTTTCTTATCACATAGCACCCAACTTATCTTTCTCCAGTTCAGCCATCCATTCTGAATTCTATGCTGGATTTCTGCATGCACTGTTAATCTGATTGTTATTAATTTAGGGTATACATGTGATGTTATTAACAAAACATTTCTGAATAATCTTTTCCTCATTCTAAGTATACTTTCAAGCAGTTTTAGAGTGGTGCATGCTGCAATAGAATTACATTAAGACCACTTATGTTTTAATAGTCTTTCCCATTATTTGTTTAAACATCAACTTTACGTAAATCATCATCATTGTCAATTCTGTTTGCATTGATATTGTATTAACTATGTCTTCTGATTCAGGAATCTTAAGATTTCAAAATTTTCTTGTCTAGAATTTTAAGAAAAACAGATTGAGACTAGAGATTTTTATAAAAATTATAAATTTAATTTTTATAAAAATCTGAAACAGAAAAATATCACTTTTTATCATAATTTTTAATTTCAGTAAAATTATTATTACATCATAGACAATTATTAAAATTTTACCATTAATGAAACTATTCAATGATTGAAATAACATTACATTAATTATTATTTTACCATAAATTTGTTTTTTTTTACATATAATACAATATCATCCTTATACATATGATTAATGTGAGTATAAACTAACAAGAACATTTCTACATGCAAATCATGTAATACTTAATGCTAACATTTATTTAATACTTAAACACATACTATTTACCTACCTACAATGATATTTCTCTATGGTCAATATTTCTATTCTTTCATAAGAAAATAAAACACAGACTATTTGATCAATGGAGTAAAAGTATAAAGCTGATTAGCAGTGATATCATTGCATTAAGACAAAATGAATTTAACTTCCAAATAAATGTTAGTACATGTAAAGTATTACATGACTTGCATGTAGCTATGTTCTTGTAAGTGCAACTAAACAGTCACAAATAATAAATGTATTTGTTATATTTGCCTCCCCTAAGTCAGTTCATTCTTTCAGTTATCCCTCTTACCAGATAGTTTGTTAGTTAAATGCAGACATGAATTCAGGTATGGGTACCAGGGGACATGTCACTATCATTTTTCAGCAAATATATATTAAATGATTAGATTTAATAAACTCATAAATGCTTTTATATAACCTAACTCTAGACATTTTTTCAAATTAGTTTTAACAAAATTAGTAATTATATAGTAGATATATGAAAAGTTTTAGAAAGAAGTAAAATAACAATTTAATTATTTATATTATGACTCCCGTGCTATCATTTTTTCTGGTTATATATAAACATTTTGTTTACATTTGATGTACAGTACAGCATATTCCCCTCAAATATACTCAATTTTAATTAGCTGTAAAAAGATAATAGCTTAAGATATATAAAAGACACAAGTACCATCTGATGGAAAGGTCTTAAAATTTTGCAGTACTGTATTTCCAGTTCCTACTGTAAGATGGGCTAGAGGTTGAATTGTCAGCATTACTGGAAACATATGGCGATCACAGAATATTAAGGAGATGGTGGAAAAGCTCTCATAAGCTTTGTGAGAGTTACAAATTCCAACAACAACACTGCATTGAATTGTACACCATTGATATCACAGCTAGTATGAAAGAAGACATGTACTGGTACATGACAGGAGATTGCCTATCATCTTGATGTTGTCACTGTGACTGCTGGAATGCACATTTGAAGGTAACACCCTATATGTTAATTTTAATGTATTTTCTTGTTATACGTAATCAATAATAAATATGCATTTCTTTTCTGCAATTTTTTTTATTTACTTTATGCTTAAATTTTTACTTTGTATGCATCAATTTAAAAAAAAATTGTTATAATAAAACTTTTTTTATTTTAATTTAAACACTGCATAAATATATTAGAATAGTAGTAAAATCTATTGAAATATAATTAAAACATTTTAATCATGCTATTAAGATGTATATTTTATTTTTCTAAAAGAATGCTGTACAGTATTTGTAGAAAATAATGCTTTGTCACTTTCATTAAAATTATAAATATTTTAATAACTAGAAAATATTTTTTCTTTACTCTAAACTTCTTTGAATTTACAAGGAATAAGATTTTTGTTCTAAAGCTTCTGTTCTTTATAAGTGTTAAGAAGTTTGAATCATTATTAGGCAAAAATATTTGCTATTTTACTAAAATACAAGTCTTCCAAAATAAATGCTATTACCATTATAATGGTAATTATGTTAATTATTATCCAAGAAGTATGCATCATACACCAATTAATTTAATAGAGTAACTGTCGGAGTTCTATCTCTCATTGCATTCAAACATCTTGTTATCTACTACCTCTAGGAAGCACCATTAATGAAAACAGTGACTCCACAATCGAGAAAGCATTTTGTGTTCTACAGTTTGCAAAGTCAGAATCACTCATCTTTGTGCAAGATGAATAATATGCAGGAGTTTTAGAATTGTGGTTGCTGTGGGAGTGACAACATATATGATATAGCAAATGTAGGAAGAATTTGAGTATTGGTTGGATGTGTGACATTTGGCATGAGATGCATGCATTGAGAAATTGTAGTGGACAAATATGAAACTTGAAACAGGTTTCCAATGTTTTAATATACAGTACATTACAATGATCTCATATGATAATTAACATAATTACAATAATTTAAAATAATAGCACTCTTTTCGGAAGACCCTTTATTTCTAACAGTTTTAGATAGATGCTAAATTAAAACTAATTTGTCTAAATGTTGAATGTATATTAGAAAATATACATTTTCTAATATATTGATATAATGAGCTTATTTTTATTCTAAAAAAATAAAAACAATATAAAATAATTCAAAAATATGTTTTTTTATAATTAAAAAGATTCATTACTCTCCAATGGGATAAGCAATTTATTATTATTACAAATTACAAAAATACAATTAAATTATATTTTTTGTAACTGTAATTTCAATATATATAAGCTTAATTCAGAGAATATTTGAAATAAATAACAACAAATTAAAAAGGATACTGATCATTTGTGGATTTTCTGGATGATGGTTAATAGCATGAATTATAGGAAATGAAAATTTTCCTTCAGTTAAATCTTCACAATAACTTTTATTTTCTTTATACTAATATATAAAACATATTATTAGTAATTATTATAATTAAATGTAATATATATAGTTTAATATAGAACATATTTGAATAGTTAANATTTAATAGAGTAACTGTCGGAGTTCTATCTCTCATTGCATTCAAACATCTTGTTATCTACTACCTCTAGGAAGCACCATTAATGAAAACAGTGACTCCACAATCGAGAAAGCATTTTGTGTTCTACAGTTTGCAAAGTCAGAATCACTCATCTTTGTGCAAGATGAATAATATGCAGGAGTTTTAGAATTGTGGTTGCTGTGGGAGTGACAACATATATGATATAGCAAATGTAGGAAGAATTTGAGTATTGGTTGGATGTGTGACATTTGGCATGAGATGCATGCATTGAGAAATTGTAGTGGACAAATATGAAACTTGAAACAGGTTTCCAATGTTTTAATATACAGTACATTACAATGATCTCATATGATAATTAACATAATTACAATAATTTAAAATAATAGCACTCTTTTCGGAAGACCCTTTATTTCTAACAGTTTTAGATAGATGCTAAATTAAAACTAATTTGTCTAAATGTTGAATGTATATTAGAAAATATACATTTTCTAATATATTGATATAATGAGCTTATTTTTATTCTAAAAAAATAAAAACAATATAAAATAATTCAAAAATATGTTTTTTTATAATTAAAAAGATTCATTACTCTCCAATGGGATAAGCAATTTATTATTATTACAAATTACAAAAATACAATTAAATTATATTTTTTGTAACTGTAATTTCAATATATATAAGCTTAATTCAGAGAATATTTGAAATAAATAACAACAAATTAAAAAGGATACTGATCATTTGTGGATTTTCTGGATGATGGTTAATAGCATGAATTATAGGAAATGAAAATTTTCCTTCAGTTAAATCTTCACAATAACTTTTATTTTCTTTATACTAATATATAAAACATATTATTAGTAATTATTATAATTAAATGTAATATATATAGTTTAATATAGAACATATTTGAATAGTTAAAATAATGAAATTTTATAACAAAATAATAACATGTTGATATTAACCCATTCTTAAACATAGTTAACATAGTAGTAATTATTTATAATAAAATGTCTAAGAGAAGGTAAGTAACCATTTGTTATCATTATATTCAATCAAAAGTTACTGATTTATTTATGCAACTTTATTCAATTCTTCTAACACTGTATTTTTTTAAATTAAATTTTCAAAATCTTGAAATGGATATATTGACAATACTATACAAGAATTTTTACATATCTTATATACTCTATCATATATACCATTGTATATGACAAAAATTTTTGTATAGCATTACTTTTAGTCCCAAATGAGTTAATTCTAGAGCTCAAGCAATGTAAATACAGTAGACTCTTTATAATAACCTTTAGGAAACCGATTGAAAATGGATGTTATATCAAATTTTTTAAAATATTTTTTTGATTTTGGCCAGAAGATGCTGTTTACATCATACAATTCATGTCTATAAAAGAAAAATATATCAAAACTTAAAAAAATATCCGTTAAAATTATATTTAAAAGTAAAGAAAAATATTACTAAATAAATTTATATTTTAATAATTAAATGACATTTGAGTTGTCAAAACGAAAAATCAAATAGTCAAACAATGGCTATTAGATTCTACAAATGTGCATGTGCTTTATTATTTAATATTAAAATCATCATTGTGTCTTGGAAGAAACTGTAACATATTTTCATATTTATTTATTATAATTTTTTCCATTTAATTCATTATCAACATTATATTTATTTATACAATATATTTTGTTTTTATTAAAACAATTTTGATCATATAAATAATTCTGGGTCAGTTCAAATCCTTTTTTAATATTCCAACTAAAGACAGATGGTTAACAACTTTAAAAACTATTCTTCTGCAAGAGTAGAGCTGTATTTCTATATTATTTGGAAATCAGATGCTATATACAACACATTATATTCAGAACTCTTTAAACAAAATATTAGAGATAGCCTATCTAGTGCTTGTATGCCTCAGTTAGGATCAAGGAGTAATCCTGTAGAATTCTATTTACATAAATTTAAGATTTCGTAGTAAAAAAGTAAGACTTCTAAGTATTAAATGTGAAACAAGAAAATCACAAATGAAAAAAAGAGTATTTCAGAAGAAGTTTGATGGAATGACTGTTTTTTGTTTTGGAACATTGGAATCAACTGACTTAAGAGTTGTTCATCAGATTCAAAGTTGTGATGTAGTATCAAAACAGGATTTAAAAAATGGACAATTAGTTTGGATAAAAAGAGTCATGTCAACACAGAGTGGTAGACTAACACCAAGTGGTATTGAATTGCAATTTTGGTGCTGTAAGTTGAGCATTCTAATCAGCCAAAGTGTTATTCAAAATAGAACCATATTGGTCATCTTTTATGTGAGCATCAAAATTACTGTATTTTCTTGTTGTATGTGTAAAGTGTGATAAATCTGTGTGGAACTAAATAAACATTTATCTTCTGTTTTGGTCACTGATGTGATTAAAACATAAGTTGTTTTTATATTCATTTATGAAAACACTGCCTCCATGTCTGATTGCTACATGTATTCAAGCAAGAAGAGGTCCCACAAGATACTAAAGGTTCCTTTAAGTCAGATTGTTGCTCCCCAGAAAATTCTCTCTTTGCTATATTATTGTAATCACTTGTTATTATCCTTATATTCATGATTAGTGCAACTGCAATGCCTCCTCCTTGGTACTATAGAAAAGTTTTTTGTCATTTACTATACATCATCTTATTTCACAGCTATTGTGTCTAAGAGATCTAACTTACAATGTTTACATTTAGATTTACATGAATAATCTTTTCAGAAATCTCCTTTGTGCACCAGTTTTATTTCCAAGAATAATTTTTTTAAGAAAAATCATTACCTCACCTTGATACATTTAAAAATTTTTTTAACATTGAATATTCCATTCAGAAGAAAAATATCATTAGCAGATCAGCAAAAATTATTGAAGTAACTTTGATACAAATTTGAAAGTTCTGTGAAGAAAATACTGTATATTTTCCCAGCATTATTTATATGTCATTTGTCCATCTAATTAAAGACCTGACTTAAATAGAAAAAATATTCATAGCATATGGTATAAATTAAATTCATAACTTCTAATATGTCTAATATGCTAATAATCTAACTTGTTATACATACTATCTTGTTTCTTTTCAGATAAAATTAGGAATTTCTAAATGAAATTCCTAATTTTATCTGAAAAGAATCAAACTGATACAATTAACTTCATCAATAATTTTTTTTCATATTGAAATTATAGATAATCAGTCAAATTCTTGCAGGTAGTGAGTTATAATTTAAATTTTCACTTATTTTTAACCATAGAACAGTTAAGCACAACTTTATATCATATTAATAAATAATTTATTCCCAGGTTAAGTTGAGTGCTACTAAAAGCCAAGATAGGTGGATCCTGCTAATTCAATGAACAGAACACCTGACATGTGATATATGATATGGTAATTATCCAGACTGACTAGTTTTTTCCCTGACCAAACAAAAAGATTCATGTTTTTTTAGACTCCTCCAAACTTGGAACCTTATTACAGCAAACAAGAAACCACCTTTCTTACTTTTTCCAGCAATGGACAATTATTATTGTTATAATAAATGTCTATTGCTGGAAAAAGTAAAGAAGGTGGCTTTTTGTTTGCTATAATATATACATATATAAATAATTTACATATTTCTTTCTTTTCTTGCTATTTGGTTATTTCTTGGTTATTATTAGGCCCTATGTCTTGAAAAGTTTAAAGAAAAAAAAAATTAATAAAAAATAGTATTTTTTTATATTTATACTTACTTCCTTTGATCTTAAATTTGCATAATCATCTCTAATTTGGAAATAAAGTCCCATAATGCCTATTAATTTGCTAAAGTCACTGCAAAATTTAAATTTATATTTTTAATTTTTGAACGTAATTTATAAAAGTGATGTTAAGCTTTAGAATATTTTACCAAAAGCAAAATAAAAATAATTTATATTTTCAACTTCATAATTATTCTTTATGATTAAAATATAATAAGCAATTAATGTATAATAATTGTTTATTGAGTTTGCAATTTTCATAATAACAATAAAAGTAATTAAATGATAATTAAACAAATTTATTACCATAAATAAATTCTAAAATGTTTTATTGAAATGAGTTTAAGAAACACAAAAAACAAAAATTCAAACATTTTCAGATTAATAGTCATCTTCAGGAAAAAAGGTGTTTAAAAAGGATAATTAATATACCATCATTGTTACCAAAGTAATTTAACAAGTATGTTATATTTATGATGTGTCCAAGACAGCTGCTTGAAAGCATAAAATAATACTGTAATCATATATAAATACAGTCATGTCTGTAATGTACTTGGATCTAAAAAACTACTGTTCAGATATTCACCATTTACATATTTTTACAAAGCATATAATTTAGGGTCTCTACCATAATCATTACTTTTTATTAATTCATTTTCAAAAAATGATAACATTCTTGCTCTCCACTAGAGCACTGTCAACTTCAATTACTTTGTGTCTTTTCTCAGTAATATATGATACTCTTAGAAACTTTACAATTTACTTTTAATGACAACCTTTTTATTAATTAATTCATAGCCATAACAAAAACATTTAACTTGTTAAAATTAAATATAAAAATTCATAAAGTTTTCAAAATGATTTTGCAGTACTGCAGTATTCTACATTGAAAATGATTCATTTTGGAAGAATGTGTGTTATTGAATGTAAAATGTTTCACTTTTTTTTAATCAAGCAACAAAAATTAATGAATGTTTTAAAATTAAATATTAATTCTGTTATAACAACAATGACTGAGAAGCAATTGTTAGTTATTGACACTAAACAAAAAATAAAGCAAATGGATAAAAAACACTGAACACTGAGTTTACAGGTTCATGCTTGATCAATGGACTAGCAGCATGTACTTTTTCACATTTTCTTCACATGTCTAACATCTAAATAGGGGCCAGTTACTCTAGAAAGTCCTCCAGGGAGGCACCCCCTCTGACATATCACCCAGATGTTGCATTGCTTTATTCTGTCAATCTAATCCAAATAATTAAAAGTGAACTCACATAGAAATCATGGAGAACTGGAGAACTGCAAAACTTGCAACTAACCCACTTGGAAAGATTTTGTCCCAGTTTATGGTTGCAATAATTTCCCAAATAACTTATTTTTGCATTCAATATTTTGTTTTATATATGTACTAATTATTCACACAGGCACAATTAGTAACATTTTATTTCTTATAGTACTCTTCAAAGATATGTATTCTGCATTTCAAATAATACATAGTTATACTTTTTTCATATAAATGGTCAATAATGCTAATATTTTTTCTATTACAGGCAGTTCATCAGGAATTTATACATAGTGATCAAACAGGCAGTAATTTATAAAAAGAAGTTTTGATTGAATTTGACTCAAAGATAGTTAAAAGAATTCTTCTCAAGTTGCTTAAAAATAATTGGTGGTTTCTTTATCATGATAAGATTCATTCACACACCATTGTCTTCATTCAAAAATTTTTGCTTAGGAAAAAAAATGTTCAGCAATAATAATATCCTCTATATTCACCTGATGACACTCCATTCATCCATAATAATGTGAAATCAAAACTCAATATCCTCACAGTTGCAAGTTTCCAGCATTACTTCTGAAAGTAGCAGGAACATTAAAACACTTGCATATTTTATAAGAAGATACTTAAAGAAAAAACATTCCTAGAAATGTTGTTAGTATAAGCTTTTTGATTTTTGAATAAAAGTTATCCTAGACCTTTTTGATCAGCCCTCCATAATAAATCTTGCAATTATATACACAATATATATATAATCCTGTGGAAATTGCAAGATTTATATTGAATGTATATATATTTTCCACAGATCAAGACTGTGTTATATTCCTTATAGTTGTCAGCCTTTTTTCTTAAAGTCTCCTTCTAAATTTCTATCAACTCAAGATATCTGAGTGTGTTCTATCCACTGTTTAGTATAGAATTTTGATCTGGTCAAATGAACTGTTTCATCAATGTTTTGAAGCATGCCAGTTCTTCTCAGTGATGACATTAAAAAATAAATTTTGGAAAGAAAAATTTGATATTCTTAAAGCTATCTGGCTCATTCAAAAGGCATGGTCATAAGTCACTCAACCTTAGTTAAATTCTGCTTTGGGAAAGCTGTGTTCTTCCTGCATTCAAGGAGATGGAGATGATGTCCCTGAAATTTTGAATGAAATTGTGACAACTGCTAGATATCTTGAATTGGAGATGAATGAAGATGACATTGAAGAGCTCATAATGGAACATGAAACTGATCTGATGACAGAACTCCAAGAATTCTTGAATGAAGAATACCAAGAAACTCAGTGAGATGTGTTTTCTTCCAAAAAAGAGTAAGACAAAAGAGGACCAATATTGACATCTGCTATTAAAGATCTTTTGAAGACGTGGGAGGATGTCAGAACAATGATTTTAGAATGGCATCCAAACCAAGTTGAGGTTAATAGGCTTGGGTATCTCTACAATGACAATGCTATTAATTTCTTCTGAAAAATCCTGAAGAAAAGAGAAAAGCAATTGACATTGAACAGATTCTTTAATGTCCCACAAATGGAAAAACAACTTGACTGATGAAAATGTAAAACTGTGTAGGTATGTATGTATTATTATTATTATTTATAAATAAATGTAGTAAGGAAGTGTATAATTTTTTATTTATTTTTTAGGATCTCCAGAACGAATTAATCAAATTCCCATAAAAATCCCATAAATTGATAATCAGTTAACGAACAATTCAGATAGTGCACATGGTCTTTGAATGGATCACATTCGTTAACAGATCACCCACTGTAGTATGGTGTTTAATTTGGCTGTGCACTGCTTTATCAGATTTCTTGATTTTAAATTTTATTTAGACAAATAAATAAATAATTGAACATACCTTTTATTTTCACTGAACAGCTGCATCAGTCTTACTGCTAAACCAAATAGTCCTCCTGTTTCTAAAATAGAATATATTTTCAATTATTAAAACATTTATATATATACAGGTTGAGTCTGCATAAGTCAACACCCCAAGGGGAAGTGGAAATGTGTTGAGTTATCTAATATGACGACTAAAACAAAGTTGAAAAAAACCACAAAATACAATACTGCTTTATAGAATACATGCAATGTATCTCTCTGACCATCACTGGCACTAAAGTTGGTTTCTACTCCAATTACCTCAGTGATTTCCATTGCTTTTTGTTTCAGTATTGACCCCCCAAAACTTTTACACCTTTGGACTTGGGACCTTGAAACATCAAGAAATGCAAAGAAAATTCAGGGAGGGTTTCTGTACATATGTTTGTGTGGGGGGACACAATTTTGTTCACCCTCTTTGAAGCATAATAACTCCTGTGCTTTTTGACAAAAATTTCTGAAAGTTTGAAAGGAGGTTTGTGTATTACGGAGATTGATGCTATTAAATTTTGGTAATTAAAGGTTGACATGGTGGGAAGATAAAGGGGGTTGTGTGTTGTATCTCAAGTAGGGTTGGACTTAATTTTCCTCATTATTAGCATTTACAATTTTTTATAAAGCCCATCCCTACTCTCAAAATGAAGCTTTTTGTCATTTTATAATAATTAAAAATATAAAAACTTTTTAATAATAAAATATCATAACATATGGTACCACACATGAGGTTTTAAATGTTTCCAGTTAAAATTACATATCTGAATTTTGTTTGGTTGTTTAAAACATAATTAGAATTCTCAAATATTTTAATATATCATACTTACTTTTAATAACTATTCGTTTATATTCTTCTTCTGTAGGACACTCAAAATTATCTCGCCAATAAATTTCCATACCCTGTCCTCGATGTAATTCTAATAAATGTTCTTTTGGAAATATATAAATTTCTATTTAATTATAAATTTTAATTGCAATTAATAAATAAAAATTAATTATACTTAATTTTTATAATTAAAAAATATTTCTGATTTGAAAGGTTTAAATCTTATTATGTACAAAATAATAATAATAATGAAAATTCTAGTCATGTTACATTCATTTCAATATGGCTTTCTAAACTGATCATTTGTATTACTTATAATAAAAGCGGCTCCATACATTCAGTATTTACTGAATACTGAGAAGTGTGGCCAATACAGAGTAATGTGGATGATTTACTCATCACTAATATTTGGTATTTCCCATGCTCCTTGTCAGTATATTGTACTAAATCAAACGGGACAGATAAGCAATTATTCAGCAATCACTTCAATTTTCCAAACTGACTTTTCCATTTGTCCTCAAACATCACTATGTATTCTTTATAAAATTTAGAAAAGATATTAAAAAAAACTATGCTTTACTATAAAAAGATAAGTAAAACATATATTCCAACATGAATTAGTTGTTCTGAAATGAAGTGAGACCAACTTCAAGCAATTTTAAGTGATACAGTTACATGATTAAATTTTAATATGATTGTTTTCACTCATTCATCAAAATTTGTGCAAATATTTTAATTTTTAATTACCATACTCAAATGAAAACAGACTTTAATAAAAAAAAAATAGACACTATAATAAACAAGGATGATTGTATCTTCTATTTTCTGCATAAAAAGTGAATTTAAATATCTTTAGATCTATGTTGTTTTAAATGATAAAATATAAATAGAAAATGATATGATTACAACTTATATTGGTTGTAAAGCAAAAAAACTGACATAAGAAATTTTTGAATACTAAATCACAAAATAAACAAACATTATAGTGGGCTATGAATTCTCCAATCTCTATGTTGTAGTCTTCTCCAAGATATTCACTGAATTACTTGTTTATTCTTTATAACAACTAATTCTTGATATAAATCAATGATATACTTATCAATTGAACAATAATTATTAGGCATGAAAATTAATAATTTTTGTATTCACATTACTTTATGCTATTACTTCATAAAATTAATTAAATTATTTAAAAGTTATTTCTATTTCAATTTTAAACTCAGTCCTAATTTTATTTTCCATTTTTAGTGTATTTTGGTATTAAAAAATCAATTTTAAAATACAGTGGGTGATTGGTTAACAAACAGATTGGATAACAAACACTTTTGCGAAAGATTTTTATGTTCTGACAACGAACACATGATCGGATAACGAACACCCCATAGAACAAACACAAGAAGAAGCGATGTAAAATAATGAATACCGATTGATCTTCCCTTGTCTTCGGGCAACAATTCGAAACTTTTCGGAGTGTGGGAGACGTCGACATCGACGCTCAAGCCGGTATATACCGATCGGATAGTATTCCTCCGAACTTTGAAACTCTCCCTTGTAATTCCAGCCTTTTATTTTTCTGACAAAACAATTCTTTTATGTATTCGCGAGACTGTCGGGTAGGCACTCGTTAAGTTTTGCGTCTGTTTTTCTTTTCGAAAGGTGAGAGTATAATAGCAAAGGTAGAGAGTGGGCAGAAGATGCCTAATGTTGCTGGGCAGTATGGTGTGAACAGGTCTACAGTAGGCCGCAGTTCAATCTTATTTAAGAAAAATACTGTATAATCAAGAAGACTCAAGCAGCTAAAGGAGTAACAAAAATCACATCTGAGAAATAAAGAACATCGAAGAGTTCATAATGGAACCTGAAACGGATCTGACGACAGAAGAACGCCAAGAACTCTTGAATGAAGAACACCAAGAAACTCGGCGAGATATGTTTTCTTCTGAAAAAGAGGATTAATGCCGATATCTGATATTAAAGATCCTTTGAAGAAGTGGGAGGATGTCAGAACAACGGTCTTAGAATGGCATCCAAACCAGGTTGAGGCTTGGGGATTTCTACAATTGCAATGCTATTAATTACTTACGAAAAATCCTGAAGAAGAGAGAAAAGCAATCGACATTAGACAGATTCTTTAACCCTTTCAAATGGAAAAAACATGACTAATAAAAATGCAAGACTGCTTATATACAGTAGAGCATCAATTATCCGACCCCCGATTAACTGTCACATCGGTTAACTGACCATTCTAGTCAGCAAATTTCAAATGTCCGCTAGTGATGTGGCACTACAATATTTGGCTGTCTTGGCTACTTTAATATTATTTTTGTAAAATTTTTTGCGTATTTTAGCTGGCAACACTGACTCGACCATGAAAGGGAGGCCAGTATTTAAACGAGACTTAATTTTCTAATTATAAGTGGTTGTTTGTTTTGTGAGCAAAAAAATAATTTAAAAAATAATTTTTAACGATACAATAGCGACGATTATTACTGTATTTTAAAAAGAAATTTTGTTAGGCTTAACATCAATGAAAATTTAACGCGAAGTAGGTTAATGATATACTAATATATTAATTACATTTAACTAATTAATAGCGATATACAGTACTAATATACTAATTACATGGGATATACTAATATACTATACTAATAATGTATTTTTTTCATTTTTTTCAGTTATCCGACCAACCTGAGTCCCCAATTGAGTCGGATAATTGATGCTCTACTGTATATATTTTTATTATTACATATAAATAAACATAGCAAGAAAGTATATATTTTTTTATTTTTGGGGGTCTCCAGAACGAATTAATTAAATTCACATTAAAACCTATGTTAAATCGATAATCAGTTAATCAACAATTCGGATAGCGAACAAAGTCTTGGAATGGATTATGTTCGTTAACCGATCACCACTGTATGTTATATATCATTCACTTGCAATTTCTAGGTAAATTGAAAATAGCCATAAGATAACCAAAAATGTTATTTAATAAAGAACAAGCAATTATTTATTGTGACATTGTCACAATGCCAGGCTGCAATTTTTAATCATAATTTTAATTTATTTAATTTAAAATATATAATGTATTCTCCATCTCAAATTAGTGGTGGCTTGCCCCTGTACATCACACTTTCCCTTTAACAATAAAGTTATGCCAGTCATCTATTAACTGGTTTCAGGGGAAGTTTTGAATTGCATTGGAAGTTCATATATAGTTAATTGGGGCCTCCTGCCCCTAAGGTTTCCATATCTGGTCTCATCTTTCATCTATCTAACTCTGTTCTAGAGATTAAGGAAAGAACGGCAGACAACAGTGGGAATTTACAGGTATACAATTTTTTCAAATTGCAGCCCAATAAATTTTGGTTCTCAAAATTAGCAATGTTATAGTTTTAAATTAAGTAGGTCACACCTCCTAATAAAATTGAGTTATTATGTAAAATCAATACTTTAATTAATTTAAAATCCAAAATGATTTAATAATTAATTGCTATAAATCCAAAATTATCATTACTAGGAAGAGAGATTAAAATCTGAAATTCCTATTCATTATCATTCTTTTGAAATAGTCTCCCATTTTCCTTTGATATAAAAAGACATATGTTACTACTATGCTTTACTATTGGTCAAAACACAATGGAAGATGCTAACAGAAATGGAAAAGTTGAAGTATTTTCTACTCTAGGTTTCTATCTGGACTTTGGTGAATAAACTTCTGAACAAGAAGTTGCATCACTTTCCCATTTCTGTTTTCTGTTTCTAGAGTATTTTCCAGTGATATGGAAACCAGCCTTAACTGATCATCTAAAATTCTCAAAAATTTGTGTTCAGCTATAAATTTTTAAACACGACGAATTTTTTAAGAGTAAAATCAGGCTTGTTTTTTACAAAACAGTGTGACTTGTTTCATCTTTTCATAAAAACATGTTTCAATGTAATCTTCTTCTCAGCTTTTTGTGATTCTGCTGAAGAGACTCTACTGCATCATATTTGTGATTGTGCAGAGACTTTGTTCTAGCAAATGCATTATCTGGATTTTTCTTTTTGAATCCAGATGGTGTTTGTTATTTTTTCTTTAGGAATTTCCTGTTTTTTTTAGAGAGATTAAGCTCTTAAACTCTATTGTTGGAATGTATATGAAAATGATATTGACTCTTGCTTCCTATACCACAATCAACAATTAATACAATGCAGATATTACTTAAAAGAAAATGTTTTATATTCAATTTTTAAAAATATCATCAATCATTATGCAAATTATTGTTCATCCCAATCTTATCAAAATGTCCTTTATCTTTAAAAAATTGATTTACAGCTACCAATGTGTTTTTTAAACAACTCTCTTTTTATATATATATATATATATAAATGAGTAATTTAAGTCATGAAATAAAATGTTCTATATCTTACAACATAAATTAGTTCAAGTACTTTCAAATTTACATCTATCTTCAAGAACCCATCAAAAGTTTCAAACATTGTTTCCATAATAACACAGTCAAATTGGTTATACTGTCTTGAACAGGAAAGACGAATAAAGTTCTTTAATGAAGAATTCTATGTATTGGAGTTCTAAATACTAAATAAAACTAATAATACTATCAGAAATTAAAAACATAATAAACATAAAATGTAAAATTCCATAACTGCACTAATGTACTATAAACAAAAACTATAATCCATTAATAATGTTTATGTAGTGTACTAATGTATGATATAAACTTTTTTAGATTAAGCATTTCCAAGAAAGGGGAGTTTATCTGCATTTCTACAACTGATAATATGTTTGCATCATTTCTCATAAATCTAGATTGATTTATTTATTTGTTAGTGTTGTATTTTTTTAAATGAAAATGTAAAAAATACATATACAGTGGAACCTTGGTATACGACCTTAATCCGTTCCTGATGTTTAGACTTATACCGAATAGGATGTACAGTGGAACCCCGGTTAACGAACGTCCTGGTTAACGACCAAATCGGTTAACGAACTTTTATTTTGCAAAAAATTTGTCTCGGATAATGAACAAAATTCGGATAACGAACGTAACAGTATTTTGTGTCAAATTTTAGTTGGTGTTAGGCATGCGCGAGTTCAGCATTGCTTTTCCGAGTGTTTGTGCTATGCTTCTTTTTTCAGTTTTGTGATTTATATATTTGATCAATATGACATCCAAGAAAGAAAAAAGTCATAGTGGCAATAGAAAACGACAACACAATATAAACGACAATGCGCTATCGCATTTGAGAAAAATTTTGATTAAAAGAGTAAGACAATCAACTTTAGATCAATTTCTTGTTTCTTACGGAAAGAGTTTGTTTGTTTGTTAAGTTATGGCAATGCAACACTTGGGCGATCTGCCTAGGGGGATGCCTTCTGGGAAATGTTTTTAAGGGAAACTGGCTCCTATTTAGGCGTTTACAGACGTGGAGAAAACCCGGAAAACTCCACATGGCCAGCCCGTCTGAGCGAGGTGCGAACTCACGAACGAACTCCCCGTGTTTAAGGTACGAAGACCACTTAGCCACTGGTGGTTTTTTTTACCGAAAGAGACTTCGACTCGAAGAATCTTCCAATGAAGTGCTACCCGTTATTTTTTGGAGGGGATTCCCCTTCTAAGCATNCATCAATCTTTTTTTTCAGTTCCATTTTGATTCTAGTCATTTTTTAGTTTTCTGTTGCTTTTCATTTGCCTTTTTGCAATTCATGATTAATAAAAATAATAAAATTTTACGTACAAATTAAAATCAGAAGAAATTTAACAAAGTTATAAACCGTAGCACCGCAAACATCTAGTCTGGTGTAGTACACTGATAGTGCTACTTGTTCATAGATGGTGTGTATAATTGAATTAAGTCATATACCGAACAAAAGTTGTATACTGAGCAAAATTTGTTTCGTCCAAACAGGACATATTCCGAATTGGACATATTCTAAAGCAGACGTATACCGAGGTACCACTGTAATTCTAAATCAAATTTCTCAAAATATTGTCTTCAGTCATTTACATATTTTTTCCAGTAACTGTTTAATTGTGAAAAAGCAGGTTCCAAGCCCTATTTTGAGATGTCCTTTAAGGCAATCAATGCATTACTCTTGATCTCTTCTGCATATAAAAAGTGATTTTCTTTCAAAATAATTTTAAGCATTGAAAAAAAATTAAAACCACAAAAAGCAAAGTTCAGTGAGTATGAAGGATGTCTCAATACAGTTGCCGAATGCTTGACAACAAATTTTTCCACCATTTTAGCCTGATACACTAGATCATCGTAATGGAGTAATTTCCAGATGTTTTCTTTCCACAAGTCATGTCTCTTCCTACTGATAGCATCTCTTAAGAGCCTTAATTCTGCCATATATTTATGTCCTTCAGATATAAACTCACACTTCTGTGATCAAAAAACAATTCACACATAATTTTAACTTTAGACTTGTCAATCTGAATTTTCTTTTTCCAAGAATTGGGCATTTTGTTAAAGGATCATACAGGTAACACCAAGTTTAATCTCCAGTCATTATTGTTTTTAAAAATATAAATCATCATTATTCATTTCAAACAAATCTCATCAAAGTTCCATTCTTGTTTTCATCTCTTCTTGAGTTAACAGCTTTGGAATAAAAAAAATTGCTAACCTTTTCATTTTTAAATTCTTTGTCATAATGGAATAACAATTACCACAAGAAATTCCAATATGTGAGGCAATATCTTCAAAACTGTATTATTTCTGCAGTTTCTTAAGCACTCCTAATAATAAACAATTTTATGGATATGTCTAAATTGTGGCACTGTACAGAGTGTCTATAAACTTTCTGTACAGTGAAAAATTTGTAAAGACATTAAACTTACACATACAATATTATATACAAGACTTGTAAGTTATATATCCTGGATTTCCACTATGCAGTAGATGACAATACTGCTTGCTCACAGATATTCTGTTTTTTTTGGACTATAGTTTTTGTAAGACTTCTTTGTCTATTACATAATTTCCTGTGGTATCTTGCCCACTAGGTCTCTAGATCTCACTCCCCTGGATTTCAGCAACTGAGATGTATTTCCAGAATTGTGTTAGAAATGCTGTAGGAGAAACTGCAATATTATATGTAAAACTTCACTATTATTAAAAATTTTACTTAAACCTTTTCACTGTACAGTAACTTTTTGGTCACCCTGTAGATATCTGACTTTTTTGTTTACAAGCTTCCATAAATAAAACAACTTATTCACATGCACCAGACTACAACCTAGCCTTAATTAATGATACTCTATATGTTTCTAAATTTATTTTATGTTTTGATATTTTAAATTAATCAGATTGAAAACTTTTTTGATCTTACTTTACATTATTATTTTCAGTTATTAATCTCAACAAATAATAACTATTTATGTATTTACTAATAACTATTTTAATAATGGTTATATGCTTACCTGTAAAAATTTTTGTTGCTTCAGGATGATTTAATTCCAAGACTTTTTGTAAACTTAAAAAATATACATAATTTGCGGAATTTATAGTACTTGGAATTCCAAAAATATTATGGGCTACTGGTATTCCTCTTCTTAACAATGAATTATCTTCAATATCATCTATTCTAAGATTAAAATAATCATTATAGTTTAATATGAAAATATACAGTAAATACATATGTTTCTTATGATAATAAACATCAAATGCATACACAAATACAAACATCCATTAACCCAACTTTTAGATTAATTGCCAAACAATTGCTTGATTACATTGGACTCTAGGCCAAATTACTTGACATTTAATTATTAAATAGTAGTATTATTATAACATGATGTAATCTGGCAATCATTTGGCATTAATCAAATGCATAAATAATTTTTCAAATTATATTTAAATATACATTTACAGTAAAACTTCAATTTAGTGTCTCCATTTGTTTACCTCTGAAATTGGTACTAAACTGAAGTATGTCAAACAATAAGAATTATATATGAAGTCTATAAACAAGCAACTACAATATTTCCTCGAATATAAGATGATCTCGCATATAGGATGAGATGTGACTTTAAAGATCAAAATAAAAAAAATTAGATTTATTAATACAATTCTAATTTTATTTCGTTTAGTAACAAATAAAATATCGAATGCACGTAAATGCACACTTCGTCCTGCAAAAATTACTGGCATTTTAAACTTCAAGGAAAAAGAAAAAAATCTTGTAAAATCGACAACATAATTTGTTCATTTAAAGCTGGACAATCGGAAACCTTTTTTTGCCAATTCTTAACAGTCTAATTCACTCTTTATCGATTACACTTAAGAGTTTCTTCGAATTTCCAAATAATCATCTGTTTTCATGTGGGAATGAATTAAAACCTATATCAGGCTCCCGTGTAATTTTGGAATTCAATTCAAAAGCTTTGCTTTTCCTATTGCTATTCATCTTTACTCTTGACAATACACAAGAACGATTCAAATGACCCAGATAAAATACTTTTGTTTTTAAACACCAGAAGGTGAGAATCCAGTAAAATATGCAAATACATAGTTCACAAAAATTATTACAAAAATGAAAAGAATTATTTGCTTGCATTTATAGGATAACCTAGGTTTCTGAAGCAGTGAAAAATGGATAAAAACCTCGTCTTATACGCAAGTAAATACAGTATTTATTGTGACATCATCACAATGTTGGGTTGCAATTTTAATCATATTTTTAATTTATTTAATTTAAAATATATATTCTCCATCTCAAATTATCTAACCTTTGTAATAAGTCAGTGGCTTTCCCCTGTATATCATATTTTTCCGTTAACAACAGAGTTGTGCTGGTCATCTATGTAACATCTTTAAGGGGAAAATTTTTGAATTGAAGTAATCTGACTTCTGGTGCAAACTAGAAGTTCATATATACTTAATCAGAGCCTCCTGCTGCTAAGGCTTCTATATCTGGTTTTGTTTTCTCGTATCTAACTCTGTTCTTGAGATTAAGAAAAGACAGACAGTCAGACAGACAAATGACAGTGAGAATTTGTATGTCTACAATTTTTTCAAATTGCAGCCCAACTTATTTATAATTATTAGACTTATCAAGAGATGGTGCCTAATGCTTACTTCAAGGCAAAATTACTGAACATTTAATTATTAAATAATAGCCACATTATAACCTGATATAATCTGGCAGATCATTTGGCCTTAATCAAAAATTGGATTAATGGATGTTTGTGAGATTAGCAGTGGGTCACTGGTTAATCCCCAAATGACCACTTACTCTGCACAGGCTGGTAAAACCTGATCTCAGGGTCGTTGGATGGCTAGGGGGCAAATCGAGTGGGGAGGGATGAGGAAGCTGGCAGGTGTCCGTAAATGACAGGAAACAGGTTTAAAAAAATAACAAACATTTATTGAATGGCTAAGCTAGGATACATAAAGCGATAACAATATATAGGTTAAATGCGGCTAGATACAACTCAGAATAAATGCGGCTAACATACTATACTCCTTCCTCCAAGAGTTAAACTAAAAATATGCTTAGGGAGAGAGAGAGTCCACAGGTTCAAATGATTACTTCAAAGAGAGTTCTATGTGGTGATTAAGTGTTATGTGGAAGTTCTTATGGTCTTCTATGGTATCTTCTCCTTTTGTCAGGTCGAGTCCGTTATATGGAGGTCTGGAGATGAGATGCACACATCGACAAGTATAACTTCTGAGAGATCACCCCCGAGCTTCCAGAGATTCGAGCTTTTATATCATTCGCATGGGAAAAATGACATGTGATTGACTTTTGTTGATGATGACGGTGCATTCTTCACACCTAAGTGTAAACTTTCCCAGCTAGTTGTTAGTACAATTGGTGACATCCGATCTAGTTCAAATTCCTCAGGGTTTTTCCGAAGATATTTTCAATTAATAGAACATTTAGATTTTTAAGAGGCCCATAAAAATCTGCAAGTTCACATGTTATATTTGAATACATTTAGACTTTTTGTCCCTATTTAGTGTTTTTAAAATTATTTTTAAAATTTTCTTTTTCTAGTTCATACTCATATAAATTAGAATCGTTTTTATTTGTAATTTCTGTCGTATTTAAATACATCTTTAATAAAGATTCTTATTTTACTTACTATTACACTATTATTACTGTAGTTTAGAATATAAAAATGAAAAAACTTTAATAAAATAAATATTACCAATTTGGCATATTTAAATAAAAATATAATTATTATTTACATAAATAATTTTGATAAACCTTATATAATAGAAAAAATTTATTTAGAAATGCGAATGTCACAGCATTAGATTTTTAGAAATGATACATACAGTGTGTTCTTCTCAAACCTCCTTAGTTTTAAACTATTTTGATAAAATACATTGGAGAATGTTGGTCAATACTCTAAGTTTCATATGCATATGATTGAAAGACCACTGCTGCTGCTTCATGATGGTAATCTGAATCTCCACCACTGCATGGTATAGATTGCTGGGGCTCATTTCTTGGTCTGCCCAATCACCTATCATCATCTCTCTGAACTTTTTTCTTTGTGGGCATGTCAAGTATTGTGTGTTTGCTACAGAAGTGCCAGACATGAGATCTCCACATAAAGGAATTGAAGATGCCAATAACAGCATGACTCCTAACATGCTAGCTTTAGGGCCAAAATCAAGTCCAAACCAGAGATCGTATTTTTCAGGTCAGGAGAACATGTGAAAATGTGCTGATTTAATGTAATAACTAACTTTTTTCATATGCACTTTCTATTACCATTGTCTACAGAACTATTCTCATATTTCTTTTTTCAAAATTAATCCACAAAACTAGTGACATTTGAGAAGAAACACCTTGTACAGTTGAGAAAAAAATATATTTTTTTTAACTTACAGCAGACTAGCATTATGTAACATTTCAATTACATCACCAATAGTGGAACATTTATCAGCAGGAATATCAAGCCATAGATTAAATGCCTGGAAAAAATTTTAATAACAATTCCAAATAAAATTTTTATGATACAAAAAATTTTAAATAAATTAGATTTTCATGGAATCTATCTCATCAATAAACTTATTCAATTTTTTAACATTATTATTATTTCATATAATTTTATTTTATTAAAAATTTTTAGTAATTACATTATAAAAATCTAAAATGAAATCTAAGCTTGATATATATTGTTTAATTGATTATAAAGATAGCAAATTTAAATGAATATAACACTTACCTTGTTATTTTAATAAATAAATAAATAATAATTAACTAACTAACACTGGGTTTCTAATTAGCTATAAAATAATTCAGTAATTTAATATACACTGCTATCCTCAAATTAAGTAAATCTTACACTAACATTTAACTATAATCAATGGCATTAAAATGCAATAAAACTGTTTCTTTAGGTAACCAAAATATTTGACAAGAAACATTTTGCTGGCCAAGACAGGCTGAAAATGTTTCTTGTTGAATAAATATTTTGGTTATCTGAATTAGTTTTATTTTATTTTATGGTTAATTGTTATTTCATTGTTATTTACCACTGTGCCATTTTGATATGGTAATAAATAACAGTTTATACTTAGATATAAATTCCAATCATTGTTTACATTTAGTTTTTTTTTATATATAAATTAATATGAAATTTAAAAGCAGTAATAATATTTTTATAAAAAGTTTCAATAATAATGATAATTCACATGGGAGTGTTCTGTTTCTACAACATCACTAGAACATAATTGAAGCAAAGGATCAACAATATGTAATTAATTTGAAATTTTAAACAGCAGACTATGAAAATATAGAAAAAATGTTAACATTATGATTATTCTAATAATCAAATTAATTAAAATTGTTGATTATTTCAATGATGACTGAACATAATTAATTAATTTTAAGAAAGTTTAATTAATGTTCACTTGTTACTCTAAACCAGTGGTTTTGTAACCCATGTTTTGCAAAACATAGGTTCTGAAAGCTTGCCTTTGTGTTCCACAAAAAAAAAAGATTTTAAAGTTTTTATTGCAAATTTATTCCAAAATGCTATAAACATATTACTTTATTCATAGAAAATTCCATATTTACTATTTTATTCAATACAATAAAGTTTATTAGTTCATTGTTTTATTGTTTTGAGAGAATAGTAAACATGGAACTAATTATCAATTTTTAATACATTGATGCTAGTGTTCTGCATAATAGAAAGTACATGAATGTGTTCCTTAGCCTCAGAAATGTTGAGATTCACTATTCTAAAATATAGATATCTATGATTTTTGCAGATGTAGAAATAAAATAAGATCATATGGTTGAATTTATGATTTTTACCTATTCCAATGGTCATTTCAATTCCTAATGACAATTCTATATGCACAAATACACAGTCATGTAATTATAATAAGTACCAAAAATAAAAATAATACAGTAAACATTTTAAATATATTGTTGTAACTTATTTAAATGCAAAAACTATTTTTATTACAATTTTAAATAAAAGTGGAAATTGTTATTTAAAAGTACATTTATAAAATTTGAGAAAGGCAATCAAAATTAAAATAAAATAAAATGAATTAATCTGAAGGGTTCTAAACTCTTGCATTCAGGTGAAGCCTATAGATCCCTCTCAGAATAATATTTTTAAATGAGTAGAATAAAGTATATAAGATAACAAAGAAAACCAATTATATTGAAATACAGTTATCAAATATTTAAAAAGCTAAATTTGAGATTTAGTAATATTTGTGCAACTATGATGTGAAAATATGTGATTACTAATAGTGTCAAAATCACAGATAATGCTAATACTATTTTGGTTTGTTAACTACATCCATAATTTTATAAAATGCTAAATTTCAGTTAGAGGTTAATGAAAATAAAGATGTCATTTTCCCCATCCAAGTTTATGGATTTCCTGAAATCTGTGAACTAATTGTGAGGCTCCGGAAGTAGGTCGAAATTCGTGCAAGATAATGTTTTAATTTCGTATAAAAAAAGTGTTTTTTTATTATTATAATATACANACTTAATCTATAACTATTTTATTTTAAAATATTTACAGTGTAATTATTAAAAACTAAATAAAACTTATTATATTAGGAGAGTTAAAATAATAATAACTGCTTTAACAGAGCAATTCTGTTTTACGAGCTCTATGACAGCTTTTCTTTTCCACTAGACTTATTACACCATGATGGTATAAGTCTAGCAGAAAAGAAAATGATGGTGTAATAATGATTTTTTTAACGTACAGCAGACTAGCATTATTTAACATTTCAATTACATCACCAATAGTGGAACATTTATCAACAGGAATATCAAGTCATAGATTACATGCTTGGACTTATTACACCATGACTTCCACTAGACTTATTACACCATGATGGTGTAATAAGTCTAGCAGAAAAGAAAAGCCATCATAGAGCTCATAAAATTGAATACAAGACTAGACAAGAAGCATATTACAGAGAACAATTCTGCTCCATTAAGCAATAAATTTTGTTATTTATGGAGTGTTATCTTTGATTTTTAAAATAATTAAGCAGTAAATTAAGAAACAAATTATTTCAGTTAATTAGAAAATTTCATTATAAAATATTTACTTTGGTAAGTTTTGTTCTTATTTTTTTCCCGGGAACTTGAAGTAAATAATGGAATGGTTGCAATAAAATCTACAAATAAAATATTTAATAGTATTAGCAATAATTACTTAAATTTAAAATGTAAACTTCAATTCAAACAAAACTAATTCAAAAAGTTTTTCATTCCTTTTAAAATTTTTTGATATCAATTTAATAATCCTTTTAAGAGGCCCATAAAAATCTGCAAGTTCACATGTTATATTTGAATACATTTAGACTTTTTGTCCCTATTTAGTGTTTTTAAAATTATTTTTAAAATTTTCTTTTTCTAGTTCATACTCATATAAATTAGAATCGTTTTTATTTGTAATTTCTGTCGTATTTAAATACATCTTTAATAAAGATTCTTATTTTACTTACTATTACACTATTATTACTGTAGTTTAGAATATAAAAATGAAAAAACTTTAATAAAATAAATATTACCAATTTGGCATATTTAAATAAAAATATAATTATTATTTACATAAATAATTTTGATAAACCTTATATAATAGAAAAAATTTATTTAGAAATGCGAATGTCACAGCATTAGATTTTTAGAAATGATACATACAGTGTGTTCTTCTCAAACCTCCTTAGTTTTAAACTATTTTGATAAAATACATTGGAGAATGTTGGTCAATACTCTAAGTTTCATATGCATATGATTGAAAGACCACTGCTGCTGCTTCATGATGGTAATCTGAATCTCCACCACTGCATGGTATAGATTGCTGGGGCTCATTTCTTGGTCTGCCCAATCACCTATCATCATCTCTCTGAACTTTTTTCTTTGTGGGCATGTCAAGTATTGTGTGTTTGCTACAGAAGTGCCAGACATGAGATCTCCACATAAAGGAATTGAAGATGCCAATAACAGCATGACTCCTAACATGCTAGCTTTAGGGCCAAAATCAAGTCCAAACCAGAGATCGTATTTTTCAGGTCAGGAGAACATGTGAAAATGTGCTGATTTAATGTAATAACTAACTTTTTTCATATGCACTTTCTATTACCATTGTCTACAGAACTATTCTCATATTTCTTTTTTCAAAATTAATCCACAAAACTAGTGACATTTGAGAAGAAACACCTTGTACAGTTGAGAAAAAAATATATTTTTTTTAACTTACAGCAGACTAGCATTATGTAACATTTCAATTACATCACCAATAGTGGAACATTTATCAGCAGGAATATCAAGCCATAGATTAAATGCCTGGAAAAAATTTTAATAACAATTCCAAATAAAATTTTTATGATACAAAAAATCTATGTAACATCTTTAAGGGGAAAATTTTTGAATTGANGGTAATTGTCAAAAACAGCATTCCAAGACAGTGAAAGTGAATAAATGGCAACTGTTCTCCAACAGACTTAGTCTTCAATTTTACTCTTAATCACCATCCAGCAGAGAAAATTTTTTTAAGAATATTTTATATTTAAAATTTCCACATTAAAATTTTGTATATTATATTAAACTTTCAAAGCAATTTTGAAAAGGTTAAAGTTATCTAAAAATGTTTAAAATAAATAGATGCTTACATAATGACTTATACTATAATTTTTTTTATTAAATGTCTGAATGTTCTTTTCTTATAAAAACAAAAGAAGGCTTAATTATTTAATGTGTTAAAAATGCATTAAAAAAACTAATGTAAACACAAAAAAATCCTATTCAAAACAATTCAAAGATTTTCAAACTATAAATTGTAATGTCAAAGGATTATAAGTAACTGGAAGAGTTAGTTTTTTTGAATTTACCTCATATATTCATCTTATCAAAAGTACTGACTAAAAACAATTATTAGATTTTTTTATTAGATTATATATAAACTATTGATAAATTTAGAATATTAAATAACTTTAATGAATATAAAATTTGGAATTAGACAAAATCATATTTGCCAATTACAGTATGTCAATTTAAATAATTTGAACTGATTAATTTAAAATATTGAAAGTTTCTCTCAATATTTTAAATTAAAGCACAATCCAAATCTACAATTCTTGCAAATCAAGCAAGCATGCAATCAATTAAATCCCAATCAAAGATCTTTTCTAGATATTTATATAATTTACAAATTTATGTAAATTATTAATAAATGGTAATTGATCTTATTTGGTGTTGATTTTTTATAATTGTGAAAATTATATAACAACCCAAATTTAGCTTATAAATCAATTGAAAATGCTAAGTTTGTATTTTGATTTCCTATACTCAACTACTGGAGAAAAGAAAAAAATCTTGTAAATAATATAAAAAGTGAATAATCTTGGATGGGGCATACTCTGTACCTTGTATGTATGATACAGTGTATGTTCAGGGACTTTCTAATTAAGTATGTCCTCAATCCTCAAAAATATCATTCATATCCTTGAACTAGAAGAGCACATCTTGTTTGTCACTCATCCTTCTTCCTATTTGAAGGAAAATTTTTCCTGCAAACTAGGGTCCACAAGAGCCCCAAATCAGGCAGATCTGTGAAATGATAATTTATGACTTAGGAGAGATCATTCTTCCAGCATAAGACAACCAAATTGTCTTATATGCACAATACATCAATGAAGTGCTTACTATTCGACACCAAAAATCCAATATACTACAATAAATTAACAAGTAAATTTCAAGGTAAACAAGCAAGAAGAAGATCAAAAGAAATGCTTAATTTGCAATCTACAAAAATATTTCAGAAGACAGGCTGAATATCAATAAAAGTGGAAGACATGTAAAGAGCTGTGATGTACTTGTTGGAAGAGTGAAAAACTGAATAGCTGAATTACTTTAATATTGATTAAATTTTGTAGTTTAAAAAAAATAAATAGATTCATAAACTCCAGAAATTTATTGAGTTATTTAATTCATCACAGTAAAGAGCTCTCTAGTGATTTAATTTTTAAAATTTATTCTGTTATTAATTTAACTTTTTTAAACATACCTTATCTTCAGAATTTAATTCTTCTTTATTTACACTGTCTGTACAGTTTCTAAAAGAGGCATTTGGTATTGCCATTACCTAAATATTTAAACGTAATTAGTTAAAATAACTTCAAATGTTCCATTAATACTTCATTTAATTTTTTAAATACTGATTACCTAAGTTAAATTTATTTATTAAAAATAAAAAGCATTATCTTTATAACAAATAACGCCAATAAAATTACTTAAGATTTATAATTAATTTAAAATTAAAATTTCATAAACCACTTGATATAACGGATTAGTTTTCTTTTAGAAAAGCTAATTAATTTACATGAGATATTATTTTTTATATATCTTTGTACATTAGAATATATTAGTAAAAATATACACATATATAATAATTTGTTAATAGGCTAACTGATTTAAAAGCATCAGTGGGATGATACTATCAACAATTTTGCATAATGTATCTTCAAGGTCATTCAGTTTGTGTGGATTGTTAAATAATTAATACAGACTTAACTTTAGAAAAAACTAATTTATGCAAACTTATTCTTTAGCATATGCAACTTTTTCATCACCTTACTATTTCTGTAATATAATTAATTAATAATTAGCTCAATTCTAAATCATAAATAACAGGACTGTGGAGTTGCGTAAAAATCTACCGACTCCGACTAGGGGCAGACTTGTTACCGAAAGAGACTCGGAAATTCTGACGTCATCACGTGACCTCAGAATAAAATATTCAATAAACAGAGTTCTAATAAAGATAGTGCGTAGAACTTTTTATTCCAAAGCTAAAAGACTTCTCTAAGTAATAATAAATATGTATTCAATAATTTTTACTTTTCCGGCTGTTATATATAACAGAGGAAAATTGTAGCGCAAAAAATGACCCCTCCCAAGTTTTTACATTTTTGGACTTGGGACACCTTGAAATTTCGAGATATGCAAAAGATTCGNTGTGCTGGAATAAACATATAGATGATGTTGCACTTTCCCTGGCAAAGTATACTGGGATGAATAAGAAAATTCAAGCTTTTTTAAGTACATCACTCTCGAAACAGCTGTACCACACTTGCATGAATCTAGAATAAGATATGGTATCGCTGTATGGGGAACCGCATCTCTATACGCTGTTAATAAACTTCAGATGGCACAAAATCGTTACATGCATTCAATTTATAATTTAAACTTTAATCTGAACTCTACCGCACCGATAATATTGACAAGATTAGTGAAATTTACAAGAAACAGATTCTATTGGAGGGCTTCAAATATATAAAGGGAAAAAAAGAAAACAGCTTCCTCAGAATTGGTATAGGTGAATGTCACGGATCAACACGAGATACTCGTATAATTCATGAATAGTCTTCCAATTGTTAAACTAGAGGTGGGGAGATCTGCACCAATCTTTCAATTAATTTTCTATTGGAATAGTCTGTGCAACGATTTACATAACATATCGAGTTATGAAATCTTCAGAAAAAAATGTAAAAAACGGAAAAAACTTAAGATGCAATGATATTTGTTCTTAATTAATTTTCTTTCTCAGCTTGTTTTTTTGGTTTTGTTGATTTACTGTAAGATGCTTGTAAAAGGCCAACCTGGCCACAGTGTCTTTTGAGAAATTGAATAAAATAAAATAAAAACACAGGAGTTAGTTATTTAAGTCAAAGTGGTTGAACTGAATCATGTCCCCATATACGTTCTAACATCTTAAGAGAGGACATTTTAACGGGTTTTACTGTACTATTATAAAATAGCAAATAAGCTTACTTTGAGGGTAAAGACGAGTTTTATTTTATTTTTTTTTAGATTTTGAACGCTAATAACGAGTAAAATATTCATTAAGAGATATGACACATGACCACTTTTATGTCTTTACCCTGTCGACCTTTAATTAAGAACCAAAATTTAATAGTATTAATGCCCCTTTATACGCAAGCTACAGTGCCATGTTTCGTTTCTTAAACTTTATCCATTCTGAGAACAGAAAATAAAGAAATTAAACAAATTAGACGCCAACACACAGGCGTGCGCGAATTTTTCCCCTTTATTGACATTTTTGAGGGGTTCGGGAGGTCTCCAAACATGTAGATTTGAAAAAACATAAAATAAAAAAACTTGGCGGGTCAAATTTGACACGATTCCAATACTTTTCCGTTTTATATACATAACAAGTTGGTAAGTAAAAAGGAGTCGGAGTCGGCGGATTTTTTGACGACTCCGACTCCGGCTAAAACATCAAAACTCCACGACTCCGACTCCACAGCCCTGATAAATAATCCAAATTTTAAATACATTTTACTAAAAACTTGGGTTATAGTTATAGCTTTAACTAGATACAATAAAAATAGACTAAAACATAAAGATTAAAAAAATTTAATCATCTTTCTTATCAGGTATTATGTTATATTACTTTTAGACAAAAATGACTAATTAATGGTTAGTATTCTAAAACTACAATTAGTCATTTTCGTATCCTAAGAGAATGACTAAATTGACTTATCAGTTATTTTTTACATCAAGTGATTCATTACATTATATCATTAAATATAATATGTAAAAAGTCTGTAAAAAGTGTAAATGTAAAGTTTGTAAGGAAGGAAAAAGTGAGTCACTTTTTTCCTCCTTTCATATTTTAATGCTGCAACCATTATTCACATATTACTACCGCATTCATTATTAAAAGTAATTAATACAACACTAATATATAAAAAATAAAAGTAAAATTTTACATCATCATTTATAATATTATTTTTAAAATTATAATTCATATATGTATCTGAACTTACAATAAAATAAACTAAAACTTTTCCAATAAAACCATGCAATAAACCTATTCCTCACTTAACTGCTTAACTAGAGTTTACATTATTTATTTCATTACTTTATATTGTTTCTTTAGGGTTTTCATTTTCATTACAAATGGGTTGCAGAAACCCAAAAGCACTAGATTAATGATATGATTAACTAAATAATATAAACTCTAGTTAAGCAATATTACTTGTAGAAAAAATTATATTAATATTTTATTATTTAAATAAAAAAGACTGCAAATAAAATATATATTTAGTATTTTAATTGCAATTCGCAAAAAGTATTATCATTGTTTCTAAAGACTATTATGCTTAAACCTTTACAGATATGAAGGAAAATAAAATGGATTCTGTTTTATTTTCCTACTTATACTTTTTCAGTCAGAATGTATCAATATACCATACTGTCAGATAGCATAAAAAGTACTGATAGCCAGTATGTAGTACTGACAGTTATACAGCAAAGTTCTATATGTTCAACCAAGAAATATGGTATCTGACAAGATAAAAACAAATGAAATGAACTGAGCCCCTCTATTAGCCATAATGAATGCTGTGGCCAACTGGAGCTGACATAAAAAACAAATAGGTGGGACTCCTTCTTTCATCTAGAGGCCATCTTTTGATGAATAGACAATACTGTCTGGTAATGTTCTCCACTATGTTCTTGTCAAGAAACAAGATACAAAGAAATACTAATGATAATATTTCAAAAGAAAAAAGTAAAAACATGATTACTAAAAGAGTACCATTTAGTAATTGACACTAAATCAAAAACAAGAATAGGGAAGAGAGTGCAAACAGACATGTATAAAGAATTTAGAAAATATAATAAATGCTATATTTGTACCTGCTACAAATGCTTATGTACATTTATAAAAAACAAACAATTAGTGATAAATGCTGTTTTTTTAGTTGTTATATTTTTTCTAAAACAGAATTCTATTTTTAAACACCATATATGCATACTGGCAGCAATATTTTTAGAAAATGAGCACTGTATGTATATATGTGTGTGGATAGATATACAGTGTACAATATAACCTCTGAATAGTGGACACCATCAGGACCTAAAAGTTTGTCCACTATTTAGAGATACATGTTGGCGGCTATATTGTATTTCAACCTGATAATTTATAAAGTGAAGAATATGACAAATTACAAAAAATAAAATTTGATTTGGAATACGAAAAAAAAAAAAATATATATATATATATATGTCAATGAGTGTGATGTCTCATTGAAATATATATATCATTGACATATATATGTCAATGAGTGTGATGACCAGACATCACACTCATTGACAAACACAATAAAATCACATACATTATAGACATAGCCATTCCAAACACTCACAATGTACAAAACACATGCACTGAAAAAATTAGCAAGTACACAGAACTCGCCCAGGAAATAAGGCATCTGTGGAGGATGGATAGGGTGCTTATTGTACCTGTTGTTCTCTCCTGTACAGGTGTGATACCACACACACTACACAAAAGCCTGGGAACATTACAATTGAATAGAAATACATACGTCACACTACAGAAGACCACTATATTGAATACATGTCACATTGTTAGGAAATTCCTGAATACAGACAGACACACTGACTCACTTATTTAATTTTAGTTTTGTTTTGGTTGCTATGCTTTGACTCTGGTCCGGCATAGTACACAGCCACTGGTGTGTACAGAGTATAACCCACTAAACCCAACACATAATAAAAAAATAAATATATATAAAAATAGTTTCTAGCATGATGTAACACTTTCTGCATGTGTCATTTGTGATTGTTGTATCTTTGAGTATGTGTTTTCTGTAGTTTTTAGTATTTATGACCTGATCCTATATTGCAATCATGAATCCTTCCGTCTCCGCAAAGAGGCATCCCCAATCTAACCAGCTGTTTGACACAGTTTTGTCAACAAAATCCTGGGCCAGGTCATAAGGATGCCTGCTATGGAGTGCCTTT